CAAATCTCTTGTAAAGCGCTGACATCACTTCGGAATTGTTCCACAATCGGCACATACGCCAAGATTCCCGCGGCAAGTTCCTATAACCAAGACATGACTCCATGATTAACTGACGAGAATTGACTAACAGCATTGTGCTCTCGTTGTTGCCTTAGCTGAGGCAACGGCGTGACTGTTGTGAGTTCAGGAGCTGAGCGCAGCTCGTCATCAACTTGATCGAGCCACGTACTAAGGCGATCAAATTCGATGGCCAAGTGCTGAGACAGTGCCAAAGCTCTCTCGAGCACTTCTGTGCGATCCATACATAGCTTGGTGACCTAAAAAGAAATAGGCATGAACCTGAAGAGAGCTTTTCTTCTGTGCACTCACTTCATCTACCAAATCTTTGGCTTGATCACACTGCTCCGTCAAGGCTGTAATCGCCTCTCCTCCATCACCGCTTAGCTCACGACAGATTTTCTTTATGTCTACGGTAACCTCGCGAAGGCGAGTCTAAACTAATTTAGTTTGGCACGGTCATCTGAAAGCTGCTTGTACGCACCTTGTTCAAAGTGACATCGTCATTCATGACCAGCTGATTTCGTAACTGGGTCCGAGCAAATTCAGGATCAATGGATGGTGGACCAGCGGCTGCGACACGGTCGCGAGCGTCAGCGAACCACTCCAGAAGGAAATTCAATTCGTCGAAAACTGCACGGCTCTGACGATCAGCCACATCCAGGCGTTCAGCGCGACGAGCCACCTATTGAACAAAAACTACCCTATGTCCCACAAACGGTAAAAGAGAACCATACCTTTTCAGCTATTTGATTTACTCGGCGATTCATTTCAGTTGTGCTTTGGAATAACTCCTCCGCTTGATCGGGACTGCTCAAAGCCTGCAGTTGAGATGATACCGCTACCAAATCATCCACTTCAGGACGCCAATGGCTAACTCCTTCTTCCATCGTAAATACCAGCTGAACAGTCGTGTAGCGAGTAGACATCGAATGACAATCAAGCCCTTGAAGGCAATGTCCGGTCAAAACCGGGAGTCTTATGATTTCATGCGTTACGATAACAGCCGCCCAACCAGGCTTAGGTACGAAGGCAAAACACGGTGCCGGAAGCAAAAAAACCCTTCAGTAATCTGCAAAATTCGCCTCTTGCAAGTTTGGACTTCCTCGAAAAAGAAACCAAAGCCCCGTAAGCATGGTTTTGACTAAATATCCTGGTTCTCTCCTCACTTCATTCGATAGACTTGAATATAGTGCCCGAGACAGCTCCGAATAAAGTGCCCAAGTTTTTGTACGTTAAAAAACAAGACGAAGAAGCCCACGAACGTAAGAGTAAGGAAAATTATGGCGGAAACTGTTTTTAAACAAGCTGCTAAGGAAGTATTTTTCTTCCAAATTCAGACCTACATACGTGTTCCTGATGATGCTTTTAAGCCTCAAAGTTAAGTGCTAGTCGGTACAAGATATTTATATGAAACGCTAAATTTTACCTGCGTCTGAGTTTCCAAATCAGTGCTATCAATCTGTACCAAGTCCTCTTCGACTGCTTCTACCCATTCCATAACTGCTTCGAAACCTTCATGGAACCGTTCAGAAAGTGGAATTGCCTTTGCCAACAATGCTAGTTTCTCGTCGGCTACTTGCATTATGTCCGCATATCTGTAACAAAACGATTGCAATACCATAAACGCAGCATATGTGAAAACGGATGTTGTCTTGAGAGTGATATTAGAGAGCCTTTGAAAAAGCACGTACCTTTTCTTCACTTGTTCTACTCGATACTGGAGTGCTATAGCTTCATCACCCGATGCCTGCATACATAGTTGTCGACCAACTCCAAGGACAGCGGAGATTTGCTCATCGCGTTCAGTGACGGCAGTGACGAGATCCTTATAAGGAAAAAAGTGAGAAATTCTGTGGGATAGATAACACACTCACCCCAACTATGTTGCTCTGCTCATTCAAATCATCAGGTGCTATCGCTATTTCGCTAATTGTCTCCATTCTTTGTTCCATTTCAGTAAGCCATAATTCTAAACCGTCGACATCCTAAAAAATTGGCGCCGATTAAAGTAAAAAAACGGAAATATGAAGTGGTGGATATGATGCTGACCGCGAACAAATCATTGACGGTGTCAGCCATTTCATTCAGCAGATCCTTAGTGAGTCTCACACGATGCGCAAGATTCTCGTATCGGCTACCAATCTGATTCGCTTGTGCTTCGAGGCTATTCGCGTCCTCGACACTAACCACAGCACAAAGCATGGGCACGATCTGCAGCCAGCAACATCTTGGTCACACAACACAAATGTTAGCTTCAAGAGAATATAACGGGCTTAGAAAAAATTGTAACAAAATCAGCCAAAGAAGTGCGCCACTGCGTGAAACGGAAATCCTGCGGAAGCGTAGATGCAGCGAAAGAAAAATTATGGCTATTGCACTAAGCTCTATATGCACTTACAGCAAGAACTCTATCGACTTCTTCGCCCTTCTCGTAGACTTCCAAATCGAGATCACGCTGTTCACGGAGCTGCTCTTCCATCTTTTCCACATTCGCAGGAATTTTTCCCAACGCATTCAGACGTTTCTCCGCCTAAATGGGAAAATGATTATCAGAAACGCGATGTATGCTTGTATGTTCTGGAAGTAGCTGATCAACAATTGCTCAACATTTCGTCATGCTCAATAACCTTTACAAAAAACCGTATCCTCCCAGATGCGCATGATGAAGTCCTGTACTCAAGCAACGTTAGAAAGAAAGGCATTAAAGATCTAGGAAAACAGGAACTGATTATTTGAACAAATCGCCTATTAACGAAGTTCAGGGTACTGTCGGTGGCGTTATGATATCGTGAAAGTAGAACTTCTCCTTTTGAGAACTACTTTATAGCAAGTCATCACCTTAATTCATTGAATGCATCATTTCTTTATATACCGCAAAAGCTTGATGTCACATAACAAGTTATCGTCTACATTTTATTGAATGGTGAAGAATTTAGTGCACCTTGTTTTTTTTATCAAGAAAAACTACGGAGCAGCATTGCATATGTATCTCTGAGAACTCTACTTTTGAGTGTTCTCTATATCCGGACAGAAAATTCGAGAACTGCGGTT